GGAAGAACTCGAATGCTCGTCGTTTTTTAAGAAGCCTTCGACAAATTTTTAAGTGGTTTGAAAAACTTTTCCGAGTTTCCGGCTATGAAATAATTCTGTTCGTAGATCACTTTCAAAAGTCAACGCAATATACTGGTAATACTGTGTATTATTACTGTGTATTACTGTGTATTATTACTGTGTATTACTGTGTATTACTGTGTATTACTGTGTATAATGGTGACTTCTTTCTGTCCGAGGACACTCGAGACGTTACATCGCTTTTCTTCGATCAGGCGTTCAGTTACCACCTTCGATAATTTCGGCGTTGGAAATTTTAATTTTCACGGTGCGGCACAATTTTGCGCGCATTGCATCACCGTTAACAGACTCGCGATCGACCGCATCATAGTGCATTTCGCGATTAGCGCGCGTTAACTCGGCTAATTCTGGAAAATTCGCGAAAGGCTTCTGTTCTGCAACAGCGGCTAATCGGGTAATCCACTCTCTCACACCGAGAATTGGTTTCAGGCGAGCGGATTATGATCAAGACTGTCTTCCATGGTGTGTAATTTAATACTGGAAATCAACTCTCAGGATACAGACTAGTAGACTAGTGCCTTATCATTTCAAATCCTTGTTTTTTCTTGCACTCTCCGTAAATCTTTCTTACACGGAGAAAAATAATGATGCTCGAATTCCAGGTCCTACTCACTTTCCCATCATGGTTACGATATTACTCGAGTTACAACGAATCCCAAATGTATCTATCCCGCAAACAAAGCTACATTATCACGCTCGAAAAAAAACACATTGTATCTAGAGTCCAGACTCTCAAAAACATCGACAAGAAAAAATACTCTTGATTAAATCAGCTTTAAGCTTAAATCAAGGACGAAGCCTCTTAATTTGAGCGGATTTCCTTTTGATTTAAGCCTGAATCTGATTGAATCAAGAGTCCTTTTTCTTGTCAATGTTTTCAAGAGTCTGGACTCTAGATCCAATGTGTTTTTTTTTTTTTCCAGTGTAGAAAGCAGCAGTAAGTCTCGTTCTCTAACCTAAAGCTTGCCACCATCGTAGAACGCACGCTGGCCTCCGTTCGAGTTGGGGGAACGGCACTGCGGAATGGATACAAATCAACGTGCTTCTACGTCGGGAAATTGCCTACTCGTCGAAACTGAAGGCGTTTCGCCAAACGCTGTTTAAGAGGCCAAATTAAGAGACTAAATTAAGAGGCTTGGTTCTTGATTTAAGCTTAAATCTGATTGAATCAAGAGTAGTTTTTCTTGTCAATGTTTTCAAGAGTCTGGACTCTAGATCCAAAGTGTTTTTTTTTTTTTTCCCCCCAGTGTGGCTGAGGAATGTTGGACGGTTTTTGTAGCGAAGGAGAACTGACTATACGAAACTCTTTCAATGTGCGTTCTATTTGTCCCCTGTACTCCGCGTAAAATTTTCATGAGCGAATTGACATCACGCTGCTTGATTTCCAATCCTACTTACGAATCCATTTTAATCAGATAACATAGCTGATAAAACCAACACCCTCATACTAATTAAATAATCACTCACACTTTTGCTGCGTTTGAATATTTTATTCTTGATAGGTGTAAGGATGGCGTCGAGCGACCGGTGCTTCCGCACTCCTTCACGAGAGCGCCCCGAGAAACCCATAGTTGAAGGACACGACTTTTTTCTTTATTTTGAAAACACACGCGACGGGTTTAGAACTTTAGAAAACCGAACTTTAAAGATTCACGATTATCGGAGAGCAGAGGATTGAATCGGAGGGAAGACAGAAAGACGCACTGACAAACCAACGGGCAAAGAAGAAGCCTAGCTCGACTCGTTAAATAGACTCAAAGATAATTCCAGATAAAAAAGTTAAAACCTCAGAGAAATTGACAACTTTAGGTGAATTAAAGAGCGAAAGAAACACGATTTTTAATAAGAAAAACTGAGAAAATTTTGGGTTGAAAGGCACTAAAATAGCACGACTAACACACTTAAACTTGAAATGGGCGACGGAAACGCTGCGCAGTGACAAAATTTAACGAGAACGCGATAGTATGACGAAACACTTAAACTCGGGAAAGACTAGGAAGTTTCAATTTGCGAGAGGGTGAAAAATCGAATTACGTTAGAGGGCAAAATCAATTTCAGGTTTTGAAGGGTCTGTTTTCGGCAAGAGAGGACCGAAGGAAACACGGAGGCGGGAAGAATTGATAACTACGGGCGAAAGAAAGGTCGACCGAACGCGTGGAATTTAAAAGTTTCGGCACGAAAGTAGGAAAATCGTTGGGTTTAAAGTAAGGGTAGAAATTTTGAAAAATTGGGGAGAAGGGGGGAGGGGAGGACGGAGAGATCCTGCGGGGGCGGCCACGCCAGGTCGCGCACGAATGCGTGTGACTTTCAAAAGCTCGGTCGAAAGAGACAAAAGTTGGGGCGGGTGCGTAATCGCAGCTAATAATCGTAAAAAAAGCGTAGTAGTCAGTAGCGTGGCGTGAATTGCGATACATCGATTGTTGTGCCATTTATACCTATAGAAAAGGATCGATAAACAGAATGTTCGCAGCGAACACCTAAATAATCGATTCTTCACCATAGGTTTAAATGGCATGACAATCGATAAATCGCAATTCACGCCACGCCACTGGTAATAGTGCTAGGATGAAACGCCGTAAGAACATTGAGATGTTGCCAAATTTCTCGCGATGAAAAAATTATTCTTGAGGGCAGGTATGCATATGATTCTTTCGAACTTTCAAATACTTGAGATTAAAAATGCGAATATAACTGTCTGAAAAATTTGAAGAAAAATAAGCAAGGGTTCCCCATTGAATTCGTCTTTTTATCCACGGAAATTTGGCAAGGACTGGAGGCTCATGCGGCGTTTCACCTTAGAGCGGCAGAATGGATACACGGAGAGAAATTGCGCGAAAAACGGGAAATTAAAATGAGGCGAACGGACGAGAAACAGCATCGACTCGCCTGGCGAGAACGTGCGAGACATGCGCCGCCGTCTGTTGCCAAATTTGACAATTAAATTTGGAGTATTCACCGTGCCGTATCTAATCACATGCGACGACAGGGTGGAGACTAAACTCAAACATCAATATTCTTTGATTTTTCCCGAATTTTCTTGACACAATTCCCGAGTAATTTTGACGAAATTTCCTGAGACTTAAAAAAATTCGCGATCGAGGAGCACAACTGCTCGGTAACATTTTCTCTCGGCATGAAAGAATTCCTAAATCTCCGCCAAATTGACCTCGCTCCTCTTCGACTTGGCAGGTTTTTTAGAATTCTCTGATTTTTACAGGTTTTCTCCGGCACACTACACTGTTTGAAAATTTGAGGAAGCACTTAAGCTGTTATGAAGGAAAATGGGAATGACTTTTTCCTGAAATATGAGCAAAATTTATCGGCTTCTTCAGAGCGCGAGGAAAAGAAATCAAAAACAGCTCCTGCGGAAAACTGTACACCAAGACGCATTACACAAAGAATCATTTTGACGACACATTGATTCGACCGAAATTTCGATACTAAGCTTCATTTTCAAATTGTAAACAATTTTACCGAACACCACAGAGGTAAAAAAATAAAATGAACACAAAGAGACAGAATTGTGCAAAACATAGATAGCTAATCTATAATTCTAAGTTGTGCAGAAGACTAGAACGGACACCTGGTTCTCTAAGAGACTAACCGTTGTAAAGCTACCACAATCAAGGAAGACCAAGAAAGCCCACGAAATTTAAACTTTCATTCATTGTTCTTCACTCTAACAAGTGTGATCTCCAGAAAAATTACAATTGTATAAGTAATACTTCAAACCCCCGAACGATTTTTAAATTTTTCTCCATAGATTTTAGGAGCTCTAGGTTTGCTTACTCTGCGTATTTTGCATTATTTTTATTTTGACAGTATTGTAGTACAGGCTCTGTTCATATCGCATTTTTTTCAATGTTTTCATGAGCAAAAACAGATTATAAGCATTTATAATTTCCTTCATGCCCGAACTATCCAGATTATCATGATCGGGGGCATGATTTCCACCATGCTGTAACCTTGGCAGAGTCATAGATTTGTACAAAATAAAAAGAGAGGGCTTCACAAGTTTTATGTGGGATACTTTAAAACTCATATTATTGTAGCAAGTTATCACTTGAACTTTGGATTTATAATAGGCTCATTAAAATTATCTCGATTCTAATTTGTTGTGTCTAGCTTTCACAGATCACTGGACGAGACTGTCAAACTACAGCAAATTCCTTGAAAGCTGCTGTATCTTGCAAACGTTTGATTGTGGCTGTTTTACGTAACTCTAACTAAGACATCGCACTAGAGTTGAGGTCACTATGAGGCAAACATGAACATTCAAACATCAATCTCTTAGTTGCTTTCCCTCTCTGTTATGGAATCTGTCGTCATTTTTTTCAAGTGAAAAAAGAGAAGTTAGTATGTGATGGGTCAAAAGCAGGTACGTCCGATCTTAAAAACTGGGCCATTTTATATGATTTTTCAGAAATAACTGGAGACAAGATCGAATGTATTGTTACAATTTAAGAGACAAGCAAGTGTATGTCCTCACATTCCCTACTTTTCCCATTTTTTAAAAAATTCAGAAAAGTTAAAGTTTTTGGCATGTTTACACACACTTTGAATGAGAGCACTATTTAGTGCTTAGGTGAAAACTCAATTCGTCAACAAATTTTTGGGTTTTTTCCCAACGTTATAACATCTTGTAACTTGTTTTTGTAGTGGTCTTTACATGTTTATTGCCTCCTTCATCATCAATAAGGCCGTAAATCTGAAAGGTTTCACACTTTCAGTTTTAATTTTGTTTCGGGAGTAAAGAATAATATTCAGTGTGCAGAAAACTTAAGTCCTGCCAACAACCACTTTCTAAACTCAAAAGAGGTAGCTATTCTGAAGAAATTTTCTTAAAAATGAGCCAAACTTTTCTACTTTCAGAGGGGAAGCAACATAAGTTGATGCGTTGGTTGAATTTGAGAACGAACCTCAGGATCGGTCATATCTGTTGAGCTCAACTGATCAGCCTGAGTTTTGATCATAGTGTACAGCTTGCTGTACGGAGCTTTGATCATCTGACAACCAATCTGACATCAAAACCAAATTATTTAGTAAAATGGTTGTGGAAAAGTATAGTCCTTAAAACTAATCTTAGGGACCAAGTTCATATTTCTGACGAATAGGGGGAAAAAATTGGTGACGCATACCAGATGAAGTTCCTCCAAAAACTAAAGAAAAGCGTTAAATTAAAAGCTGGCAATCTTCTGTTGAGTTGTTAAAACAAACAAAAATCCAAGACTGTTCAATTAGCATTAGCCAAATTTTTCAAACAAAGCAATGACTTTAAATTTGCACAAGATAAAAGTGTACTTCTTCAATTGATTAAGTCTGACACACTATTAAAAAGGGCAAAAGCGTTCATAAACCTCCTTTGCGACAAATTTAATTTGTTACACAAAGAGTTGTTAAATTAGGAAGTTACTCTAGAAAGCAATACTGTCCATTTATGCTCTCGTATCTGAGATTGCGCCTAACTGAAGAAAAAGTGATTTTTGGGGTTAGTTAAAAAGAGTAAAAGCAGCAGATAGGTCAAAAGTGAAAACAGAATTGAAGCAAAAGAAAGAAAATCGAAGAGCTGAAAACTGATCCAGTAAAAGTAAATACGAAATTTGACGTAAAGGGAAAATAAAAAATATAAAAAACAGGTTAGAAAGAAAACAATGGGAACCTAAAAGCACTAGACCTTATTTCAAAATGCAAAGAGGGTGAAAAAGATGACTAAATTGTGACTTCATCAGCAAAATTCTATTTTTAAATTGAAAATTAAAAAGGAGTTAGTTTACATTTAAAGCAGTATTAATTAAATAATCCGGGGACGTCCCGTAAAGGGTTGGCGGCAGGGCGACTTTATATATATATTAATTAAATAATTTAATGTTTGACAAATTCTGATATACTGCTGTGAAAAATAAAAAATCCTTCACATTCAAGGCAAGTGAAAAAAAAATCCTTTATGTTCAAGGCAAGTACATATCATTTCATCTCACTTAATTTAATTTGCAAGCATTTGAACGGAATACTATGCTGCAAAGTAGCTCCTCTAAGGGGTTAACTTTGGTTCTAGAAATCCTAGCAACAGCTGTCAATGTTGATAAAATATCTTTTCAGTCATTTTATAATGACACAATTTTGAAACAAGGTCGAATGCAGAGGCTTGAAATGTTAAATAGTGCGGGTCAAAAAACGACTTACCTCCCACGATTCTCTTGCTAGTGCACCATCATCACCACTTTCTCTACGGTGTTTGCCGAGAGAGTGCTCCGGAGATTCGCTTCCGTCTTCCCAAAGCTCTGTGTCTGAGTCGACGAGTTCATAACCTCTGGATGACACAGTCTCTTCATCTAGATCACCGTATAGATGAGGTACCCAAACCATCAGGAATCGATAAAGATCATCGACTCTGAAATTCAAATGAAAAAATGTGTAGTAATGTGCTGGAGGAATATTGTTCAGGAGAGAAAGAGAAGTCATGGCCTAATAAGGCTTATCTCAGGTACTTAAGTGGTAAAAATATTTTATTCATAATTCATAATTGCCAAAATCATTCAAGCGCGGTAGAATTTTTATTATCTGGGCATTGCATTACACAACCCAATTTTTCAAAGTTTTTGGTACTTTGTTCTGTGCTGTACTGTACCATACCATCTACGAACTGACTCATCTGTGTAAATTCCTAGTCTACAGAAAGAAAAAATAACTACCCGTAGGAAGAAAAGGCACCTCAAGAAGTCTAGAGTCTTTAATAGACGAAACTCTATTCCATCGACTTCAGGAGGGAAACACAGCTTTAGTTTAATTTTTCCTCCCTTCTTTAAAGGTATCCACCTCTAATTTTAATGATCCATAGAAACGACAATAACATACACTGACACAGGACTGCAAAATAATTAACGGAGAGGGCCTGTCAATTGATTCTCGTGCCTGAAGAATGAAAAATTTAGGAGACGTACCTGTTTCGAGGAACACTAAACCAGTATTCAGGTCGCATTTTCTTCTTTCCGTAGGACATAATGTGGGAAGATTTAGGAATTTTCTTGTCTTTAGGTTTGCCCATCCTGAGCCTTAGGTACAGTGGTGGGTCTTCGCATGAGCGAGCGGGTCTGGGAATTAATTCTGCAATTGGAAGGAAAAATATTAGATCTGAAGAGATACATACAGGGACTTTTGGATAGGATTGGAGATGTGCAAACAATATGATCAAAAATAAAGTTTGTGGCCCGGTATCAATTACTATACAAAAGTCACATCCTGTCCTTGTCATCAAAGGTTTTGCCGAGCTGTTGAAACTGTGACAAAGAGATCATTTCTTAACTTCCTCTTCCGTTAACACATGTTGCAAATGAAAGCAGAGGATAAGACCATTGATACCTACTCTAGCCCTTATGTCCTTTGTTTTAGCTATCATTTATGCCATTTCATCATTTCATCAAGGTTAAAAGTACACACAAAGTGTGTCAGATCAAAAATCAGAGAGCCACAGCGATAGAGCGACGGTCAGATCATTTGCTACAACAATTTTTTTTAAAAAACAGGGCACTATTTCGGAGAATTCTGGCTTAAAGTGGGAGCTATAAAAAAAGCTGCTTTGCATATAGACCTTCAAAAAGGCACATTTTCCACATTTTACCACTCCTAAAAAGCCTCGAATGACAACACTTTCTAAACAAAAAAACAAAATTTGATTTCTACTGAGCTCCTACATTTATTTTGTCTCCTCTTGTGACAAAATTCATTATACTGTCAAAATTGATGTGAAAAGTTAGTCAGAGTAGTTAAGATAACAGACACAGGATAACAATTAAAGCGAATGCAGAACCAACAGAAATTACTAAAATCAAAAAAGGAATTGAAACAAGAAGCGAACAAAATACTGAGGTAGTTAGTCCTTAAACACATCAAAAATAGTTTTTTTCACTAATTACCTACGTTTTCCGTTTGGGTTATGACTTTTTCTGATGATACTTTCTTAATGAGTAGGTAATAAAATTAAACACTGAACAGCGAACACATCCACTGGACAATAAAAAAAGACAAACAATTTAACCACAGAAAGCATTGTGCTGTACTAAACTAGTGTCAAACGTACCTAATTTTTCTAACTGTGGAAATAGAGGTGCATGAACTAGTCAAAGAGCAAAAAAAAACAAAAACAATTATTAAGAATATTTTAAACATCTAACGGGCCGTTCATAAAATACGTAACGATAAATTTTGGATTTTTACCCCCCCCCCTCCCCTTCTCCATCTATCGTAAAATTTTTATGATGTAGGCTCTCATCCTTTCACATGTGTAAGAAAAATGGCAGAACCTTCTCCTCGACCCCCCTCCCTCTGGAGTGTTTCGTATTTTATGAGCGTCCCCTAAGCTCTCGAGAACCATCCCTAAACTAGGTAATGCTCTGAGCCAGGGATATCTTTGGCATTGTGAAACTTAGATTTTAGGTCACTTTATTAGATAGATTAATGCTTTCATTCGAAACAAATGCATAATCTCAACCTTAATGAGATACATGGAATACATCTTGGATAAAACTTTGTACATGCCGAAAGCCTGGAACATAGCTTCTGGCACAACCTACAAAGATTAGGAAAGCATTCCATGCTATGTTAATAAATGATCATGATAATTAATTTCTCCTCATTTTATGCAAAGATAATGTTGCAAAACTAATAATTTTCCTGTATTTAATTTCATTTTGTACCGCGACATTTCATTGTTTTTTAATGTAAAGTTTTCCTAATTAAATCCATGAATTTCTTTCATTTACTGAGCATTTTCGGACAGCAGATCAATTGTTGAATTGTTATCGGAAGACCTCATTTGATAGACAGCATTGCTAAGATGAGGTCATTTGATAACGATTCATCAATCCATGCGCAGGAAGGGAAATGTTAAACCTGCACTTCTTTGCTCTTTTAGGAGGATAAAGGCAATATTGCCCAGCTTGAAAATGTAAAAATCGGTATGGCACTACTTAATTTAGGGATGGCACTTTAAAGATGACATGAAATCGTCACCTTCCGACCAAAGTATAACGAGAGCAATTGTTGACAAATTGGAATATAAAGTGACTTCTTGGGGTTCCGGACAAGTCAGGTTTAAAATTAGCAATTCAGCTGTTAAATATTACAATTTTTAACTTTTTTAAAAAATCTATCATCTATTGCGCCAATAGGTTTCAAAAGAATATCAAAGTGTCAAAATGGACACTTTTATGTTTTAAAATTATTTTTAAAAAACTTTCCTCTTCAAATTTTATCCAAATCAGATGCTAAGAGTGATTCGGAACATGTATTCAAAATTTCAAATCTTGTTTTGTTTATAACATTAATCTTACAGAGGTTGGCCCTCTTGGTGCCTGTGATACTTTGGCCAGAAGGGGACGAAATAAATCTGATGCAATGCTTTACTTTTCAAATTTCTTGTGATAAAATAACAGACTTCAATAACTCTCTCTACATTACAAACAGAGGGTGAAGGAAATAGTGTCCTTCTGGAGACCTAGAAGTTCTAAGGATTGGGAGAGATTGCATTAAAAATGAATCATGTAGAATTCTCTGCTAATAAATTGATCTTTTGAGAAGTATTTGCCGTTGTCAAGCAATTGTTAAGCACAATGGTCAATATATTTTGGATAACAGCCAAGGTCAACCACTTAACCTACCGACATGCCACTAGTTTTAAAAATCTCTAATCCAAAATAGCTATTTAAATTAAGTTCATCTGTGATTAGAGCTGGGGAAAAAGGTGATTCAGTTTTTAACTTCAATTCCTCATAAAATTTTCATGCAATCTATAAAAATTGGTGGAGATTTGTGTTAAGGCTACTTCCAATCAAGAGGTAGCTTCATTTATAAATAATGAATGGAAACGACTTAGCGCACAAATGAAAGAAGAAAAAAGCTCGTCAGGAATGGTGTTCCCTCAGATTGCTAGACAAAATCTTCCGCCAAGGCATGACAATAAGTTAAAATGTGATCAAGGGGAAAAAAATAAACTTTACAGTGCTTACATCAAAGTCCTAAACGTGCGCAGGGCTGCAAATTGCTATTTAAATGTGCTCAGTGAATGGGTGCTGCAAAATTTTCTCTCCACAGCCTAATACTCTAGCAGCTGACGAGAGGCTTTCGACATGGTGATAACTAAATGATTGAAATAACCTAACCTCTTATATTGATGCATTGAAAAACGTTTATATCTTGGTTGGGAATTACTTTCAATAATTTTTGTTTCGCAAATAGTGTTCTACAAGAAATTTTGATGAAGAAACATAACATAATGCTGAAATTAGCACTTAGTCTAGTAGTGCATTGAACATTCTTCACATTTTATTGTTAATATTTCAGACTCATGGACCCTAATTTACATTTTCATTTAGGTAAGTCTCCAATCCGCTACTTCCAATTTTTGAAGTTACATTTTTTTAAGGTACCGATGTTCCCAACAGTCTTTTAGGGATCAATTCATCTGATCTCACCTTTAGTCCGGCTAAGAAACTATCAGACATGAGTTATGAGATATGAGAGCAGGCATCAGTGTTTTTTCCTGGATTTAAAGAAACGGTAACTTCTGTACCCTTTACTTTTATGCACTCTACTCCTACATAAATTAGTCCTTCAAAATTTGCTGCAGAGAGAGTATTATGCAGTACCAGAAAAACATTAAAAGAAAAAAACTGAACAGTTAAAGCTTAACAATTGGCTTAGTTTAAAACGATTATCTTTTTCAGGACCTAACTTTTTTAGTTAAACGGACAAATTCGATTCTACTTAGCAGAATTTCCGTGCTTGTTTTCAACGAAGAATTGAGGTAGCTTTTCTAAGGTACTACAAGTTAAATTAAACTGCAATTTTGCAGTTTTTATTGCAGTTTTTGTTGCAATGCAAACTGCAGACGGTTGCCACCGAGATGACACCAAGTCTGCTGAGTAATCTCTGTTACTACGATTGTTTACCTTAGTTTATTTTTGTACTCGGAAAAATATTTTCAAATGCTGTTATTGTGTTCATTATTTTGGTGTGATTTCACACACAAGTCAAGACAAGAGTCGTTCAATAAGTCTTTACATTCCCCTTGCCATGTCTACAACAATTTCTCCTTTTGAAAAACTAAGGACATTTAAGAGGCTTTGGTTATAGCCAGCCAGTCAACCCGAACAGCAACTATAACTTAAGGCAACCATAATTTTTAGTTAGTTGTCCAACAGGGAGACTTACAATTTGAACAGCAAAAAGATATGTATGGCAAGAGACCTCAGGCACAAGAAATGTATAAGTGCTCTGCATTAAGTGAAAATCTCAGTAAAGTCAGTAGTATTCTATAATAAACAAGCTATGGTTTGTCATATAAACACCCTAAGTTTCTAAATTGTTCTTGGTTTTTGTTTTGAAGTCAGATATTGCTGTGGAAATGGCAAGCAAGGAGCAGAGACTTGAAAAAAAACAACTCTCCGAGTAAATGAAATGTTAAGCTCTGGCTATAGCTTGAAAAACTTTATTGCGTCCTCAAAGTTGAACGTCATTATTAGAAGATTCACCTTTTTTTTATTCTAGTAAATGATATAAGAAAAAAAAAATTAATTATCTAAAAAATCTAGACCACCAACATCTTCAGGCTAAAAATCAATGCTTTCTTTAAAAATGGTCCTACAAGTATCCATACAAACTCTTCAAAAAAGAGAGGTTTCAAACGGCGAAGATAAACAAACAGAAAAAAACTACGCAACGAACTACCTACAAGAGCCTTTCATCCATTACGTTCTGTCTGATTGTCTAAACTGTGAGAAAAAATTAGGATACAGTGTCTTGATATTTAAGTATCACTCTTTGCTAGAAACAAGTCAAAGAGTTTAGACTACATCCAGTGGTCTACACTAAACAGGAAAGGCAAAAATAAGACCTATAGATAATGAATCCATCTGGATAAAAGCCCTTATCAATTAATTTAAGAGTGCATGCTGAGTTACTGGGTATCTCTACCTGGGAAAGACTAACAATTCTAGCTGCTAACTACTAATTTTAAACTCAATTGGATTTTAAAATATCTAACTAGCGGCTAAGCAAAAGAGCGTAGTTCTATGGATAGAAGCTGGTTGTCTCGTCAAGATTTTTATTAGTATCAAACTCTGTTAGACAAAATAAATGATATCTTTTCAACTAAAGAGAAAAGGAATGTTTTTTTTTCTTTTCTACTTACTGTCCACAGAGACGAAGAGTTCTGGCATGTCATCAACTGAGACCATACTTCGGTAGTCTAACTTGGGTAACGATTTGACTGAGTCTTTGGAGTCACTTCGGCTGTTGTGATGTTGCGAGCGGATGAATGTGCTCACAGATGACCGCCTGCCAATAGAAAATTAGGCATTAGAGAACAAAAATAATAAGATCAATATCAAAGAGATCCTGGTCAAAACTGATTAGGTTCTTAAAATTCTCTGGCGTGCAATCAATTCCTGGACATTGATATTTCCAAAATCCAAAAGCGGAATGAAGAGCATATTTCAAATTGAGGAAGGAATCTGAATCCAAAAGAGTAAACTTTTTTGATGAGGGTCACTTTTCAAAATGATTGTAAAAATCTCAAAACAACTTCGAAGGAAACCTGCTTTCCCACAGCATTTTTTGATTGAAATTGCGACAAAAACCAATGAAACGATGTGACAAATAAACACAGCAGCAAAATAATGCTCTCTTTTATTGTAAGCACCTTAGAAGCTGCCTTAACCGCATCAAATCATCATAAAGTAACCTCAATTAAATGCACGTAAAATCCCAATATTTTTCTTGAGGGCCAAAATCCAAGTTTCAAGAGAAAAGGTAAAAATTGTGCTCGTGTGCATTCAACCGTTGAGCCCAAAATACGTCTGAAGAATACCAACTGAAACTGGGCTCCAAAGATTGAAAAAACTCCGCACGGCTATCTTTTTCTGTTTCTCTTGAGACTTGGATTTTGGCGCTTGAGCCCTCAAGAAAAATATTGGATCAATTCCAAAATGAGATTAGACGGAGTGAATATACACTTTTTAAAGGTATCTCACTTTGTGCACATGGCACCTAAAATAACACTTTCACTCAGGATAAGTGACAACTTTCTGAGTCTCTCTAATGAGAGGAAAACCTTTGAAACCAAGATGTTGAGGAGACACAGGAAACCATATTCTCTTAAAGTCCTCTTAATTTAAAGCAAGAACTTTGGTCGCATTGTCTTTGAGTTAAGGTCTAATTCTTTTTCAAAGTATTCAAGTCTCTTTTCAGTCTCTACTATTGGGAGTAAAGTTGAGCTATGATTACTGATCAAGAGAGAAAGTAAATCATAGGTCTCAAAGCAGGAATTTGAATTCATAGGGACTGGAATATCCATCGATTCGACATTTAAGAACAAACACAATGATTAAACACTTACGGACAGTTCATGCAAATAAAATTGGTGCAATTCCCTTGTCTTGTCTAAGCTTTATAGAGGTTCTATCAACTTGGGAAACTCATTTCATTCTCTGATGAGATCATTATCTTCCTCATATTAGGATAAAAAATAGGGGGAACCTACTTAATTTGTTGACAATTTTTTCACGGAACTTGTTGGAAGTGAACTGAAAGATACCAGTAATGCGTAGGAATTTAACTGGGACAATTAAAAATTGTACAGAGCATACCAACAAAAAACAGCTTAAGCTACGTAAGACCGTTCTTTACTTTACAGTATGGATGGCGATAAATTATCATTCATTTGTCTAACACAAATTAAATTCTATTTAACGACTTTGACAGATTGAGGGTAAACTTAGTTGCAACCAAAGGATCACTTCATTTTTTGCTTTGTTTAAGTGGTTTTAATTGAGCCAGAACTGATTCATCAAAGCACTCAGTTTCAGGACTTCCATCCAATTCCAAGCATTTGTCCACTATTTCTCAGCACTATATACGTAGCTTCCATTATTAATTCATTCAAGTCACCATAGAACATAGATGTATAATACTAAGAGAGGTCAAAATGCAGATACAACTCACGTGGAGGTTTCTAATGAAAAACAACCAATTATGATAGCTACAGTTAGGCTAATGCATTACAGTCTCCAAAAAACGACACAAATGAAATTGAATCTAGTTCCAGCATGCGCTAACAGTACTTCACAAAAAATATCATGACGAATATCAAAATACAAAATGTAAGGAAATTAAGAGAGGGAGAGCTGTGTCAAAATCCGAGGGACAAATCTGATGACTGGCAGTCATTAGATCAGAAGACAAGGCCATAATTAGAGCATTCTAGAATGGATAGAATTCCAAAATACAGCATGGGGAAATAATTTTGACGATAGAGATTTCAGAATTCAACTCTAAAGCTGGAAATGCATTTTAAATTCTTGACATAAAAACCATCGACAGAGGCAATTCATTTTCTAATGATCTAAATTTGATTGATGACAATTATTATGAACATTCATACTTAGCTCAAAGAGGATCTCCGGTTGAATCAGTTTACTGGTTTATTTCATGAAAATAAAATTCAAAACACTCTCTACCCGCCTGACAAAATACGATTATAACTACCCTACACTTTAAAATTTGGGTTAAATCCAGGTTTTCCATCCTAAAAATACTACAATGTACACTGTACAGGTATGCACTACAATACAAAACAACAAACATTTATTTGAATTTGTAAAAAATCATTTCTGAGCAATGCTCAAACGGATTGGTCTTTTTTTACTGAAATTATGAGTCATTACATCATTTCTTATTTTGACAACTGAATGCTGCCTTAGCGTTCAATTGATTTTTTGATATTGGGGGACAAAGAGAAGAGGAGGACATTCATTCTATTCAGTAATGGTGCGTAAGTAAGGAATTACTCAGTGTCAACCGGTTTTTCAACTATGATAAACAGAAGAGAAAAAAGAAAAGTACGAGCTGGTTTATGCATAAATGATATAAATTGGTTGAAGAATTTCAGAAAGGAATTCTAGACGAAAAAGAAAAATGCGATATTCAACAATATGTAGATGCAAGAAAATTAGGAATGCTACATAATGCAAGTTTTAGACTTTTTCTCTCTTGAAGGTTTTCTAGAGAAACTAAAGTTTTTTCTTTTTCTTTTTTCAATAGACAAAACAACAGATTTGAAGAAAGGTAAGAAAAAAACTAACTTCTACATATTTTGAAACGGAGAGCAAAAAATATCTCAATCAATAATTCGAAGATATTCATGTAAGTATCGGTTAGCTTGATAATTTTCACACCATTTGATTCCTACTCAGTGATCTTATGATTATTAAGGTTAATTTTGAATTGAACAGTGCCTAACAGTGATTTAAGTGCTTACGAAGGTCAATTACACAGATGCTAAATGGACGAATAACATCAATAAAGGGCATCCAACATTGAAACGACACGATACTCGAAACTTGATGTAAAAACTTACCCAACAGAATTAATAATAGACGAAGGTGAAAAGCTTGAAATTCCCTCTTTTTTAACGGGTTCGGGAGTGACGTTAGGAGTTTGGGGAGGTTCGGAGGATTGAGCGGGAGGGAATTGGAACCGGCCACTCTCTTCGCTCGGAGTTTTCATTAAAAATAATCCAGAGCTGAAGTCAGTGACCATATTTATTGGAGAACTGGAATTATAGAGGAGGGTGGATCGAAGAGGAGCAGGAATGCAATTTTGCGAATCATTTTCAAAAGCAGCAAAAAACAAACAAAAAAAATCCAAATTTTAGAATACTAGGTTAAATATTTTCTGCAAAATTGTACCAAAAGTGGGAAGTAATAAGACGACTGTACTACTATTTGCATGCTTCCTCTTCTTTTAGATGACAGAAAAAAAAGAGGGAAATAATTACTGAAAAAAGGTCCTAACATATCAAATACTTTTTCGGATGATATCCAGAAAAAAATTGCGCAATCTCTTATTTTAAAGTTATGAATGAAAAAAAAAAAAAAGAAAAAAACGAAAAAAAACGTTACACTGCCTCATACCTTTACAAATTTATGTGATTAAACCAATGTCAGCAAAATGAGCAATTATGAACATATCTACTTCATCTAAAATCAGTAGGTATCTTCATCATACTACCATATATAAGCCTCGAAGTACGTAGGTTGGATAAACATGTCATAGCATTGAGTTTTGATTTGTTGTTCATCAACTTATAGAGTGGCTAAAAATAATTACAACCTTATTACATCCTAACCTTATTTAGCCTTGAGACTGATGCTTTCATTTTGTGCTAATCCATAAGAACAGTCAACCCTCGAAAAGTTGAAAACCTCGCTGACACAAAATAATGGTCCATCTTTTAGATTTATTATGTTTCTTCCATTTTCTTTCCTAGACGTTTTTCTAGACGTTTTTCCCCCATTTACACAATGTCAAGAATCTCCGCATAACTCAGAAATTATAGGAAGTTTTCTAAACTTAGAAACCCCAATGAGTCGAAATGAACCCAAGTTCCCGATGTTTTCCAACTTAGTGAGGTTTGACTGTTCTAGGATACAGTTCTTTCGCATGTTTTCTGAATGTATTCACCAAATTTCCATCGGATTATAAGGCAAACCGAAGACTAAAGTGGGCTCTCATTCTTGAGTTCATTTTTGTTGTAGCATATCTCGTCTTGAACATGTTCAGGCAGATACCATAATGAAACTTAGCTTAGATACGCGACTCAAATTCAACAACTATACTATTGAAAGGCAAGAAAATGAGCATGAAACATTCTTTGAATGAGCAAGCAGCTGATGCACGGTCAAGCTTCTGCGTTTACTTCTCGGACGTGTCGGTTTCCGTGAGTGATCTTAAGACTGAATTAAAAATATGCATCGGAGAAGGAAAGCTCACCTAGAAAAAACTTTGGAGAAAACGCTGGATGAGTGAGAAGTCGAGGATGAAGGATGAGAACTTGATTCGGCTGACGATGGCAACGATGATTCTTTCTCGTCCTTTTCACCGGAGAACGTTCCTTCCATCCAGGATAGAGGGTACGATAATCTTTTCAGCATCTAGACAAGAAAACCAACCATTAAAAACCTTATAACACAAGGCTAGGAATAAGGAACAGCAAAAAATTGCTTATAATTCATCATCAGATCTCATTTAATTTCTCTTTCAATTTTGAATTTTTAAGTGAAAATAAGTGTAAAAGACTTCTGAGGATTTCATGTTTTGAGTTGAGAGACTATAACAAATTGTGGAGATCTTTCCATTTTCTAATGATTTGACTAGAAATTTATCTCTAACGTTTTGTGAACGCTGATACAACCATGCAGTAGAATGAAAGTTGCTTCACGTATCTGTTTAATGACTCTACACAAGTTTGATTACATTTCTGTGAAGGCAAAAGAGGAAATTATTAGAAGAGAATATTTGAATAAGAAGGAAAATGTTGATCAGGAGAGTGAAAAAATTAGTAATTTCACATCTCAGTTCAACCTACTGCATTGTCACATTAGTAACTTTCAAAAAGAAAACAAAACTACTGAAAATTTATAAAATTAGCTATGTACAGCTGTGGTTGAACGACGCTATTATTTAAAGTGAGTTATTTCAAGAACCAAGGCGTTGTATAATTATTGATTGTTCATTCAACTACTTAAGCTTTTCAATGGGGTGGTCATCATCAGAGTTTCAATACATACCACAATGTATTGTGTGATTGTATTAATATATCAGTGATTGTATTAAATTGTGATATGTATTGAAACTCTGATGATGACCGCCCTGTCGAAAAGCTTAAGTAGTTAAACGAACAATCAATAATTATACAACGCCTTGGTTCTTGAAATAACTTGCATGAAATTAGCTAATTTATTTTCCCTTCCATGAAGAATAATGCTACCAAATTACATGAGAAAATTATGGTTTGTTTCCTTCGGCAGATAAAAGAAGCTTTGGGGCACCTTAATTCCACCAATTTTTTTCATAATGCTTTTATGATAACTACATGGTGTAACACCAAAAGAGAGATCTTGATTCTTTGAATTATTATAATTTTGAGTAAAGTGATTCTTGTCAACTATAATAAGTGAGCAATATTTATGGGCTGTTCCAGTTGTAACAAATACTAATGATAAAATTACAGTAAGTCTCTTTCAGGGGATTTGATATGGGAGAAAAATTAAAATACTGGTATACCTTGTTCTTTTTACTTTCTTGATGCTTATCTGTTTCATCTGTTTTGTTTGATTCGGTATTTTCTTTGTTATCTTCTAAGCTAAATGAAACTGAGTTAGTCTTCTTTCTACTGAAATCGTGGTCAGGTATCACTGGTATGGGAGGAACAAAGTCGTTGTCACTACTGAGCAGGATATCAGCGTCCGAGTAGACTGCTTTCTTAACGGTGGGTAACGGTAAAGCTGCCGGATCTCTAATATCAATGCCTGAGTCATGACAGGATTGTTTCGTTAATTGACTTTCTAGAGAGTCATCTGTTGGAGCGCCGAACTCTTCAGAAACTAAAAAGAAAACAAGCGTAAATTTTAATGATTTGTTGAGGCTGGAGGTGCAAATTGAGAAACAAGGAAAAAATCTCTGCGGGAGAAAATAAGAGTTAAATAAAAATGGGACTGTTCAAATTGCTCACATTTTCTGTTTGACGGTGGTCACCAAAAAAATCTCTTTTCGCTACAAGCATTTCATTTCATAAAACAGTGTCTAATGACAGAAATTTGCCATGAGTGATTCATTTCTCTCTTTAAAGTTCCAGACTGTATGATTACAATTGATTTACTCCTTGCTCATGTTTTACAACCGAAATAGACACGGAAAAACAATTAAAAACCTGGAAAAAAATGATGATAAACAGAGACAATGTGATTACAGGTACTTCTTAACCAATCAAATATTTTTACATAAAATATATATTGAAACTTGAGACAAAGTTAAAAGTTGCCAACTTGGTGAGATGAGCTTAAACTGCATCCATGATTTGAACATCATTTTCACTGACTCCAATTTATACACACTGATTGTGGTAGTTGTCATTGACTGAAAGAGCAGACTGCTGAAAATGGGTCAGTTGCGCTGGTCACAAAATCAAGTTTTGATGCTTGATTCTTGCAGATTAGCTAAAAATGATAAGATCTTCTCAAACCGCAACTTTCTACGTTCAATAATAACCGAGATATCGCCCTTTGAAAAGTCAGGTTTTTGACGTCATTCACCGCAGTAGTGACACCCTTGGTTTCTTCTACTATGCTTTCATCAGTCAGAAAGACACACATTTGCACTAGTTAATACTCAACGTGAAACTCGGATGAAAGTAAGGTGGAAGAAACCAAGGATGTCACTGAAGTGGTGGATGAGGTCATGATCCGAATTTTTCAAGGCGCAACATCTCTGTTAATATTGAATGTAGAAAGTTGCGGTTTTGATAGATCATATTGTTTTTGGCTAATCTATATGAATCAAGCATCAAAGTACGGGGTGAATGGGTAGTGACCTGCTTGCTGCAGGACAAAATCTATGATGTCAGCCGGTATGATCAAGCAGAAAACTGGCAAAGCAATTGAAATACTAAAATATTCAGAATTATACGAGAAGCCAAAAGATACCTTGATCGAGGTTTTCTCCATCTTTATTACTTTCAACTGAAGGGGCCTTGTTGATTGGAACTGCCCAATGATGGTCAAGGGATGATTTTCTCCTTTCCTCCAGTGATCTTATAATCACTTCCGGATCCTCACCGACGAAACCTGACTGAGTGTCATCGGTGGAATTTTTGCGACTATCTGTGCTGACCTCACTTGTGTTCTCTTGGGCAGTAGGAGTGGTTGCGTTGCCTAAACACGATGGGCTGCTCTGTAAAATCAAGAAATAATGGACGATGAATAAACTAGAAAAAATTTAAAGATGCACTAGTGTTTAAGATTTTGAAGTATTTACTTCTGATCTTCTGTGGTTTGCATGAAATAGGTTCAAACAGTTGATTATATCCTACAAACAAAGGCACAAGTTTAGATTCAAAATCTAATAATGGACCACTGGACAGGGTGCAAATTTCAGCATTCTGATACATGTTAATTAACCAAAATTTCACGTAAAACACGATGCGTACAACAAAAATTACCGAAATCAACTCCTTACAAAGATATTTAATGATTCCTGATGCGTGAATTCAAACCAACCGCTCATTAAAACTCAATGCTCTACGTGATTCACAATGCGGCTAAACATTATCATGACAGTCCCTGCGATATAAAAATCTGGCAAACTCAGTCTTGACGCTTGGGCTCAGATATAGCAAATTGCTTATAGTTTCAACAACATATGGTGGGAGATGAACAGTGTTCGATTGAGAAGCTTGGTGAAACCGTTGTAGTGCGCGATTTGACTCATGTAGAGCTGTAAGTTTCTTGTGAGCGGGCAGTTCAAATTCCTCGTAACCAATGTGAAATAAAAACGTTGATATCTTCGTTAGGAGTTGGTTTCAGTAATTTTTGTTGTGCGAATCATGTTTTATGTAAAATTCTGGTTAAGAAACTTAAATCAGATTACTTAAATTCGTACCTTGTCTAGTGGTCCATTGCATCGATTAAAAAGAAGAAAACCTTGTCTTCTAACTTTAATTATATAGAAAGCAACTGGATTCCTACATTTTTCAAAAGAGCCTTTTCGAGTCTTTCTATCTAACCCTTTGGCTCCTATGGACGAAAATGTCTGCCTGCGGTTATGCAAGGACAAGAATTCTCGTCTGTAGGAGCCAAAGTGTGAACACCGCAGTGAGGCACTACGGAAGAGAATACTTGTCTTGGGATCTCAAAAATCTTTATTGTTGGTGTTATTTATTTAAAGAAGACTTGGGTGCTAGAAGTTATTTTTTGGTGACTGATCTTCACATGTACATACTAAAGGACTAACAAAATTTCAAGCTGTTTATTTAAGAAATAGGCATTGACATTTTGACAATTTGACATTATTTTCAAAATTGCTTCCTCAATTTTTTTGTTGATTGCTGGAGGTATTTAGGATTAAACAAGAATGGAGGACACGGAAAATCACTGAGATAGCTTACATTTTTGTCACCAGGTGTAGACAGGTTTGTGGGAGTGACTAGATCCCTGTCAAACGCCTTGGGAAACGCACCACCTTCTCTTTGAGTTTGATTACAAGAGCATACGCTACCAGTCTCTTCCTCATCATCAGTTGATGATCTGAAACAGACGGCAACATAGAAAAATCAAAAACATATTCGGTTTTATAGATAGACCATAGATGAAGAGAATGAGGAGGTGTAACAGCCAAGCGGTTAAGTTCAGAGTGTTAAAATTTAGAGAAAGCTTCTGCACTTGGATATTTTGGAGGGACTTTCCATTTTTCGGTTTTTTTCTCACAATTGCATTTTTGAGGGGCTATGGAATGAAGCACAAGACAAATCATTAGATAGATGTTTTATCCACTGACTTCAACTGGCAGCTGGGAGCAGCGCGCTGTGTTCTGAACACAATATTTCTGAATTAAAATGTAAGCTTGCACTATTTATTGGCATCAAAATGAACAAGACAGCTCGTGACTTATTTTTTTGGATAAGAAAAAGTTTTCTGACGACCTAAATTCTATTTTTCCACTTGACTTAAGAAATATCACCCTCCTAAAAAATTTACTGCATGCAGTCAGTACTGAAGTAATGGAGCAAAGCCATCCACTATGCGACTCCAAATTATGACTTGTTACTGGCGTTTTTTGATACATAGCCACAAACTTCAACCTGAGAAAGCATTTTTTGGAGCAGTGTGAGCAATATTAAGAGCAAAAAAGAGTGTTAATTCCAGGCACACCAGAGCCAAATCAAATAATAAGTCAAATGATTAATGCTAGTGTTTTGGGAAATTTACAATGAAGTGGCCTCTTGACAGCTACTGCTTCTTTTCAGTGATGCTGTAATAAAATTTAAAGCTTCATGCAAAAAAAAAAAAAAAACTCAAGTAAAAACTCGTGAATGGCTACGAAAAATTAAGTATGCTGCTCAAAGGATAGCTCCTGAAGTTTGGGGCTGGTGTTAGGACACCAGTAGAATCTAAACGTCAATGCAGGATTACACAGCATTATCCATTCCTAAAAAGTTAACTTCAATACCAGCCACAGGTATGAGAGAAGACATTCAAAGGGGAAAAAGAAGGGAGACGTAAAGGAACTGACCGGAGTTCAAGAAGGGTTTCATCCTTGACTAGAAGTGAATCATGTTTATCACTATCCAAAGAATCAGCTAAATTTGTTGCCTCGACCTCTGGTTTAGTTTCTCCTTCGGTAGGTTCAACGTTTTCTACAGGTTCAGCCACTGTTCGATTCAGATAGTAAATTTCAGGTTTTGCAGAATCAGACCTACAAAAATTAAAAACAAGCGTTAGAGCAAATCAATTGGAGACACCCTAAAGAATTTGTCAAATGGAGAATTCATAATTGCATATTAAAGATATTTTTACTATTTTTTAGCTTTGAGATACCTGCTTTGAATGGTTCTCACTTATTCATATCGACTCTGCCCAAGAATATGAGGGCTCTAATCATTATTTGAGGAAAGAAAAATGTGAAAAAGCGTTTAATAAGCATCTTTAAGTTACATTTAATGATCCATATCTTGTCGACACGCAAACAGATCGAAGTATGGAATCAAGAGTTTTCTGCGACTTTCTTTGTTTTTCAATAAATGAAATAAGGAAACTGCTTTCACATGCCTGACTTGGGAGGAGGAATACAAAAAGCCCTGGAACGTGACATACCCCAAGATGAGTGTCTTCTACTTTGAAAATGACAACAATGTACTTTCAACGGGACCTGTTCGAATGAAATGCATAAATGGTAGGAACTCACTTGGTAAGGGAATGTTGTTGGTCAGTATGGCCGACTCTCATGTGAGCAATATCGTGGTAGATGGCAGCATTGACAACGAATTCCATTGGAGCTATTACAGCGTATGATTCGGACCCATGTTCCATGACTAAAGTGTCCATGACATTGGGATCAAACATTACTGCATTTGGTGTGACTAGAAGAACACCACTAACAACTCCCTGAAACAAGATAAGTCACTGTGTCATGAAAAAGATACATATATAAATGGTTTAAAAAAAGTCACAAGAAGTATGGATTGCTACGCAAAAAGTACTAAATTATTCTTCAGTCAATACTTGATAGTATACCTGCTATCCAAAAATTATAGAACCTCAAATCAACTTAAAAACTCCAACATCTCGTCTTAAGACCGTGCGTTCACCGCAATTGATTGGTGTCAAATCAACTTGTTCAAATGGGTCCTGTAAACAGGATATGGGGTTAAGAAAAGGCAAAGAACAGCAAAATTGCAATACAAGATTTTGACATTTTTTCACTCTTGTAATACAAATGGAGATGAGGTCCCTTGAATCTAATCCAACCTAACACAGGGTGAGAAAGGTTCGATAGAGCATTAAATAACACATTTTGAAAATAATTTCAAGTGATTCGTCAGAAAAAAATGTGAAGCCACACACTTTTCTACTCTATTTTTTGTTTCTTAACTGCAGAACTCTTTTTCTTCATTTTTCAGAACACTCTCTTGCACGTCTCACAATCAGTATAAAAAGCAATCAGCGATGTAATTCTTAAAATTTTAAAATTATAAGATACCATAAGAGCTCATTATAAATTATACAGGCTGACATATTCGACCAGTTAGCCAATTATGGCAACAATTAAAACTTTATCCTGGGGAAGATTTAGAATTATGGATTTTCCTCCCTTTATGACACACATGTATCAATTCTGCGACTGAGCAGATAGATTTTTTTCGTTAAGTAATCCCTTTATTCTACTCTTGCTGCATCAATTTTGCCGATTTCGAGAGAATCTTGATTTGAACAAAGTCGACTTTGCTTTAGAACATATAGCCTTGCTTTAGTTACGAAATAAAAATTATATTTACCTGTCCATCCGTGATATGCTTGACATTGATTTTAAGGAACCGTTCGACAGATGCAGGCGATGATCTGATACCCCTTGCTGAAGGAGCTTTGACTTGTTCTAGATGAGGTTTAGGAGAAGATGGCCTCAAACTGTCCAGCATGTCTGTAATGATACCAAAAATTGAACAAATGAGTAAGGATACTGAAAAGTTAACTCATTAAATACCTCCAGTCAGAAGTTCATTACTTGTATTAATCAACTTCAAAGATATTTCACTTAGATAATATGTGCAACCATAAAACCTACACTTGATTTGTAAAAAAATTCACAAAGTTCACTATTTAAAACCCAATGCATTCCAATCACTCTATTCATAACCTCAAAAGTTGACGGTTTGGAAACCAAGCCTTTCAGCACTGAAAAATGGGTCATAGTACTTGGTTAACAAAAAACCCTGGAACTGTCCTGTTATTTAATTTAGTAAATTATTTCAGACTAGCAGGAGCTTTCCTTGTACTATAGAAAGAGAGTTAAGCTTAAAAAAAGCTGTTTAATGGTCTAAACAGGAACATGATGAGAGGACAACCGATTCACTTCATTATACAGTGTGAGATCATTTATTGACGCATGAATGCATATTTTTGTTTTGACCTTAATTGAATTATCTTAATTATGCAACCTTAAGGGAACTATGCAAACTAAGTAAAAATTTTAGGAATCACTCCACACCCCTGCTCTAGAAGTTTCTGACTAAAAAAGATTCTCTTGAAGACTGATTCGGTGGCTTTGTCATACGTTTTACATTGCAGTTCGATGGTTATATTGCGAACTAACACATGACCATACCGCGCTATGATGGTATATTGCATCCAAGTGTTTCTTGAAATAAGAAATTCTCGGGTGTGAGTCTTTAATTGATTTATAATTTGACACAATCAGTATTTTGCCTTCCCCCAAAATCTTAGTAGCCACCTTGATCAGAAAGCCCAGTTTTTAAGAGCCATCTACAATTTTTAAGGGTCGGAATTAACTTTAGACATATGTATCATGGCGCATGAAATTGCACGTTTGAGAAAATCGACATGGTGTATCAACTTTTAAGGGCGCCACAATGGCTCAGCTCCCCCCCTCTCCTCAATTTTCAGGCACCAAGTTCCGATTTTTGAGCACATTTAGTGCATGGCACCTGGGAAAGGCAGAACGCTGAATGCACAGTTAACTTCATATGGAATGTCGACATAAGGTGTGTGTTCGAACACTATCTATAGAACTATAGAATGTTAAACACAACTTATAGACGATTAATAAGATTTTTTACTAATTCATCAAGTTGAATCATAATTTTGAGACTCAACGGATGGATCCACTTCTGCTGAAAACCTGAGAAGTGGCGTAGAAAACTTAAGACTATAATAGACTTTTTCTTTATGCTCCTTAGTTTACCTGATTCCTCTTCTTGTTCCTGAGCAGTATCCTTATCCGAAGATAGTCTTCTTGTAGAGTCGGACTCATCCTGATCTTTGGTACTTCCGGCTTCGCTACTTTCTTCTTCAAACCCTTCCTCCACCTGTAAATTAATTGACACTAAAATAAGTATCTTTGGTTACAGATTCAAAAATGAATACATGGCACTGCAGAAACTGTCGAAAGTTGTTAGGTAACACAAAATGCTAGTTGTCTCAACTTTTTAAAAATACATATAAAAAAAAGGAATACTGAGACTGAAACTGTAAAGAGATTACCATAAAATTTTTATCTCTATAATTTCTTCTTGAGAATAGGAAAAAGCCAACTAGGAAAAGAAATAAAAATTTGACATTACAACGAATTGTCCAATTTTAATTCAAAATATTTTGATAGATGGACCAGGGCAAAAAATTTTCATCCAGTTTTTTTTATGCCCATTGGTACAGAAATTGAAATTCTTCCATTTGTTGGAAACGCATTATGATGTTTCCTAATTATTTTAAAACTGCTGAATGAGAAAATATTGATGAAAATTGCGTGGATACGGTCCATTCTGAAACATGAATATTATTTTGAAGCCGGGAAATAGACGAAATATTTCATGATAAACATACTGTGTTTCCATCACTGGAGCTTTGCTTGTGTTCCTTCTTCTTTGATTTATCTGGAACCTTGATGACTTGACCCGGGAAGATGACAGAGGATGTGCGGGTTTTATTCAAAATTGCAAGCTCTGAAGGTGTTGAGTCGAACCTTGCAGCAACTGAAGCTAGAGTATCCAACGGCTCAACCTGAACACACAAAAATAATGAAAAAATTAAATGACCCATACAAATTCGACTTATCGGCTAAATGAAAAAAATGTAAAGCGAGTTTAAAATAAAATTGGACCCTAGATTTTGAAGTTCCGACTCCTTGAATTTGACTCATTGACTCATCGAGGACGGAGCAAGGTGCTACGATTGGAAGTATGCATTTTCCGCACAAAATCTGGGATTTTGAAATTTTCACACATAGATCATGATTGACGTTTCCGCGCGAAATAATTCCCGCAAAAGTTTCCTTGCCACTAGATGATAAAAAAACTTACTTTGTTATCTGCTACAAAAAATGTAGCGATCCCCGATGAAGAATATGTTAGTAAAATGTTTCCCTCAACTTCATCTTTTTTATTTTTTATTTTTTTTCTGGGGATGATGAGAAACACAATTCAATTATCGAGCGATGTTGCCAAATCGTGCCAAAAAAATTTTGCTGGCTGATTTCGTGCGGAAATGTCAATGCAGGTCTTCGAGTGGAAATTTTGAGCGGGAACGTCAACCAACCCCACGATTAACTCCGGCGCACAGTGGATCGAGTCAATAGGAGAGGTCGGACATGATATGGAAACTTAAAAAGCTCATAACTCCGTCAAATCAAAACTTTGGGACTTCAAAGGTGGAACTATTGGTTTCCTTGTGAAATTTTCTTCTCAAAGCACCCCTTAAGATTTAAAATGAGACGAATGAAACATCAAAATTTGCAGTTTTAGTCAAAAATGTCATGTCCGACCTCTTTGATTGATTTGATCCACTGTGCGGCACGTCACGACGCAATAGCGGCAGTGATCCGATATTAAATCCCTAGCGGGGAAGAATAAAAATCCCTAAATCCCCAGATTTGCTCAAATATCCCCAAAAAATCCCTAGATTTTGCAAAAGACCGCAATTTTTTACGTAGACTCATGACGTTATTCGATGTATCGATTTGCAATATTTAAATCTGATTGGCTCGTTTGAATTTTGCCGCTCTCTGAAAGCAGTGCTAATCCAGACCAATAAAATGAAAGAATATTAGTTGAGTTCTTATTATTGTTTTTTTACTGTTGAAGGCAGTTGAATGTCAAGTACATCGAGTGAGGCAATCGTTTTAATTTCCGGCTTATTTACGGGGAAAATAGTGTTGCCAAAAAGGCCTACAAAATATGGATGAAAAAATATTTTCGATGGTCGAAGCTGGAATTGAGGTTAAAAAGTCGATTTTTGCTTACGTTACCTCATCAATAAAAATCCCTAGATTTTCTGAAAAATCCCTAGATCCCTAGAAATTCCGGAAAATCCCTAGATTTAGGGATAAATCCCTAGACATCGGATCACTGAATAGCGGGTTCCCGGCGATGACTCAGGCGACTTAAGTGTAACGGCTCGGAGTGGAAAAACAAATATGAAGTCTCCGAAACTGAAATTGCATTTCTGCAAGATTGCAGCCGGGCGCGCGGGGGTCCCGGAGTCGCAGCCGATTTGTTTACCTGGCGGATGAACCGCGCCGCGCCGATCTGATAAAAACAGCGCGCTAATGACTTTCCAACTTCTTTCGGGATCATAACTTTATGTTTATGTTGGAAACGACTTACGGGGACCGGGAGGGTATCCCGAACGCCGCACAGTAGACCGAGTTAATCAGAGAGGTCGGACAAGAAATTGTTAACTAAGATAGAGTACCTGTATAGGGAGAGTAGCGACAGATCGGTTCATGGAGGGCTTAGGGCCCAAAAGTGCAGCCACCCTTCTGAGCAACTTCTAACACACAAAATTTCACTGCCAGCCTACAGATTTCAATTCTAACCAAGATGGCTAAGAATGTACATAAATGAGCGTTCTTTCGCAAAAATAAGTAAATTTATGCAAAAAGTAAGCCAAATACATGCTTTCTAAACGACGGTTCGTAACAATTGTATTGGTAAATCGCTCTGGACATTCGAAATTCATAGGTTGGCTGCCCTTTTGGGCCCTAACTTTATTCGCGGAGGCATCGGTGAAGGCCTGATGGACTTTCGGAGTTTCAGATCTCTCGCTACTCTCCCTTTACAGGTACTCTAAACTAAGACTGCGGGCTGATTGTTGAACTTGATAGGTAAAGCGATAGACACAGAGGACTAAGGGAGTATGGAGCGATCCTATGTGCTGGTTACACGCTCAAATTCCCATCAATTTCCGATCAAATGGTGACTGGTGCGCACCATCTACCATCAAATTTCTGCGGCCTGCAAAAATTTGATGGTAGATGATGGAGCTGTGGGGCTCATCCTTCATCTGATTTCCACACAACCGTGCTTATTTCATGCTTACTTCAACCAACACGCTGTTTTAATTAATTTTACTCGTCAATCTAGATAACTCTCGAACGCCATCTTGGTCATCATTTTGATCGGAATTTGACGGAAATTTGAATGTGTAACCAGGCCACTACTGGTTGGAATGCTTGGTTCCTATTGACAAAGAAAGAAAATGATGGACTAAGAGGTCTCTCGTGGGTTGCCGTCAGTTAGTCTATTGTCCACCTTCTTTGTCCATTGCAACCACCCGCTTTCACCAATAGAATCCCTTCAAATCCCTTTAATCTATATTGTTCACAGCTTTGTCTATCAATTTCAACAATTAGCCCGCTGCAAATTTTGATGTTTAATTTGTCACGTTTTAAATTTTAAGGGGTGCTTCCAAATGACAATTTCACGAGGAACCCGACGGGACCACTTTTGGAACCTCAAAATTTTGAATGAATGGAGTTATAAACTTTTAAAGTTTCCCAATTTAGTTCGATTTATCCCAAAAAAAACCTCTTGGTTCAAGAGCGCAGTTTCTTGTCGCCGGATTTAAGAGTCTGGACTCTTGTTTCAATGCAAAATCCGCTTGAATCAATGCAAAATCCGCTTGAAACAAGAGTTCAAGACTCTTAAATCCGGCGACAAGAAACTGCACTCTTAAGTCAATGCAATGCGGCGATGGTCCAAGAGGTTTTTTTTTACCAGTGCACTGACTCAATCCACTGAGCGCCGAGATCCGGGAAACTTGTCCCGTCTGACACAGTTCCTCGAGTCGGAGCGATTTAGGATCCCACGCTTATTTCTTCCGCGAGGATCTTCGACGTAAAACGCTTCGGAAACTTTGTCCCGTTCTCGAAATCTCTGACCGAGATGACAAATCGTCGCCCGGACGAAGGAACGTAAGTCCATTCCGGAGTTGCAAAATTGGCCCAAACAATTTCATTTTTTTTTACAAAATCGTACCTGTGTAATTTTGGTCAAAAATTTGTCTGAGTTTCGCATGAGATCAGAGAGAAAATCGGTGAGATTTTCAGTTAGAAAAACCCAAGAACCTCCTGGTAAAGATATAATTTACGAAGGGAAATTTGGCAACATTGAAATGAGGTTACGTTCTTTCGTGGGGGAACGACAAAATCGGTCGCTTGAATCGAAAAAGGCTCCACTCGGAAAAAAGGAAAACAGTTTTAGTGCGAAAATGTGATTTTTAGGGTGGCGCGCATTTTTTATTTTCAGGGTGCCATCAAAATTTTTAAAACGAAATTCCCGGACTTTTCCAAGTTTTTCCTGACGAAAAACGACAGAGTTGCCTGACTTTCCAGGTTTTAGCCGTGTGGCGAGCGAATTAGAAAAAATGAAAAAAACTGTCCTTACAAATGGGCAGTAGTCCTTGTAAATTCGTTCTCTCAAATATCATTGCGTGAGACGGTACGGTAAAAAGAAGTTGAGAAAAACCTTAGAAAGAAATGAGCCCTAACTACTGAAAAATAACGAAGACAGCCGCAAAATGTTCGAATTGCGAAAATTTCCTAATTTTCCCCGCGGTTTTCGGTCGGAATCCTGAACTTTTCCCGGTTTCACAATCCTGCAGACGCCACATTTTTTCCACTTTACTTTTTTCTTTTGATTACACCAAAAATAAAATTAAATACACTACTCTGATGTTATACTCGTACAATAATAGCTATAATTTAATACATAGAATTCTGCAAATCTAAATTTTTCCAGTCGTCCGAGAAGAATAGGTATCATCCTCAGGTACTACGTACATGAAAAAGAAGCAAAATAGAGAGAAAATGAATTTAATTTACAAGAAACACTTTTGGTTATCATCTCTTTTTGTCAGCCTTAGGTATTCACTGAGCGGCAGACATCCAAACGCCTTAATGCAACTATTCGTGCTTCAGAGTAGTGCGAATCGCATACCAACAATTTGAAGGCGCTGGACTGACAGTTGTAAGTTGTCACTTGGCTCCAGTAATTTGAACGCATTGGTGCAACTATTCGTGCTCCAGAGTAATGCGTAATGCATACCGACAAACTGAAGGCGTTTTGGCTATCATAACCCTAACATTAATTAGACGTAAGATGACCCTGTGTGATTGAGAGGCCAAAGCTTTGACCGACTTATTGTTAAGAAAATATGTGCAGTGCAAAGGGTCATTCCTAACCCTCTCATGAGTAATTGGACGGTTTAACAATTCAGTTATGAAAAGTTATGATCAATTTTTTTCTTCTTCTTCTTTCTTTTTTAAAGGAATTTGCATACACTTATTTATTCTTTTATTATTTAATTGTGAGGACAAGCATTTTTAAAATCATTTCTGCCATTGAGCAGCCTTCAATATTCGAAGGAAATTATAAATATCGCAACGTATTATTTTATGCCCGTTTCCTGGAAAGTGACCTTGTACAGCGTCCTTTTCACTATTAAGTACATCTCGGAATCGCACGCGCCGAGGGATTCCCGGGAAAAGAACCAGGAAAAGAGCAGGAATAACGAATATCCCGTTCGTGAAATTGTATCTCCCTCAGGGATCCCTGCGGATCACTTCTTGATGTCAGACTCTCGTGGATTTCGAATGAGTTGCGTGTTAACGCCATTTAGTTATTTGCCCATCGCTTATTCTTCAGCTGAAAGAGCTCCAAGGACGATAAGACTATATTTAAAGACGAGATGCGGCTAAAATGAAAACAATCTGGATTTGGATT